ATGCTCAGTCCCAGCAGATTTTGCTCTTGTTAACGACACATGGTTTGCTGGGCAGGTGGTGTCTGTGGTTCTCATCGGCTTTTGGGCAAAGACCATAACCTGAGTCGCTGGCTTGAATTCCCTTCTTTCCTCTGGCACTCAAACCTGGTTTCAAAGTGCTCTGTGAACAACTGTTGATATCCTGCAGTTCACTGGCAAGACTCACTGAGATAAGATAGCTTCAGGCAGCCACAGGCTGGCTCCTGGAGTGGCTTCTGCCAGGGAATTTAGAATGAACAGAAATAGCTCTAGTGCTCTCAGAGCTCTTTTGTAAAGAGTTACTCAGATCTTGTGCTCATGGGTGGGATGGCCAATGACTGTGACGTTGCAACACACATGGAGGTAGTGGTGTTTAATGGAGTGCTTGGCATTCCGCACAGCAGCCATGGCTTCCATGGCTCAAGGGTGCAGTGGAGAAGTGTCAGCCACTCGTGGGGATGCAGGGTCAGAGGAATCCCCCCTCTGGCAGGAAGGCCAGGCAGATGTGAGCAGCTGTTGAGACAAATGAGTCATTCCTCCTGGCCCTGCCTCCAGATAAACAGTTGTAGCTTGGCAAGGTCACTAGAAGCATGCAAGCAGTGTGTCCCAAGGGGTTTCCCAAGTGGTGTATGTGGTGAGGGCATCCTCCAGAAATGTTTATTGTTTTGGAGAGAGGAGGGGAAAGTGGCCTAAGCTGGGCAGTGCCAGTATGTCTTCATGGTTATGCATCGAAGCTAAGAAGTCAAACCTAGGATGTGAAGGCAGATTAACTCTGGGCATGAACTTGTCCCTGGTTATGGTGCAGTCCTGGTTTCTTGGTGATGACTGATGTTTAAGAGTGGTACTTCCTTAGAAGAGCTAGGTTGGAGGTCTGCTTAAAGTGTAAAGGTGGTGGTAAAGGTCTGCCTTACTGACTAGATGTGCTGGTGTGTTCCTGAAGGTTTAAGATTAATTAAAATTACACCAGCTCAGAAGCAAAGGTAAGGAGGTGACATCAAACTCCTTTCTAGCCTTTTGAACCTAAATTTGCAGCATCTGGTCCCATAGATGGTGGCTTCTTGTAGATACGCAGATGGTGTCATAGTTACTGGTCCTCCATGGAAATGGAGCTGGCCCTCCGCCTTACTCCACTGAAGGTGAGGCAAGTGTTTTGTGGCCTCTAGCTTGGTTTTGGATAATCCGAAGGGAAAATACCTGTTCATCTCCAGAAGCTAGGAAAGACTGTTCTGGTAGCTCAACCTAGACAGGTTGTTTCAAGTGATACAAACAACTCCCACAGTCTCACTCTTGCTGTCAAAGGCTTCTCCCGTCTTCCAAGTGCTGGACTCCTTTTCTCAGACAAATTTTTGGTGAGTCTTTCAATGTGCAGGTCATCCGTCCATGTTGAAACCCTCAGATCCATTGCTGCAGTGGAGCTACCAAGGGGACTGGTTTGTACCTGGAGCAGTCTATGGGGACTGCCTCCTTTCTATGAGGACCCGGGCAACTACAG